AACTGCATAAACCCTATATGGCATTACTATTAGGTGTTCCCTCATTAAAATCAGTAAAAAAAACCAAAAAAAAACATTTTACTTACCAAGAATATAGAATCTGGCAAAGGTCAGAGTGCAAATGCGCTATCAGAGCCAGCATGGTGAAGGGGGGTGGGTAGGGAGACAGGAAGCGTGGTCTATTTTAATTTAATTTGAAAAAAAAAAAAAGTGACAGAGTGAAGTGGAAAGGAACACACACAGGGTGGAGGGAAGAGCAGGCTTTCCCTTGCAGACTCCCTCCTTTCAATGGGAATATTACTGGCTAACAACAGGAGTAAAATATGCACAGAATTAGCATTAGGGGGGCGTGGCAAACCAGTTAATGGAGTAGGATGCAAACTACCTAGGCTCTGCGACCCAAGCCCACATAGCCCTTTATAACTAGCACTCCTAGACATGGAGTCCTGCTCAAATGTGAAAATTTTTACGTTTGGCGACCCCTGGACCCTTGAGGCGAGCCGCAGGTCCCATGGACGATTTCTTGGCTACCCCAGATTGCCTCAGACACACGCAACCAGCCGACAAGATGGCGCTGACCTCTCCCGGCACAGAGAGCACTTCAGACTCCCTACCCAGCTCCATGCGCGGTGAGTTTCTGACCCAGATATCCGCTGAGCTGGCCATGATCTCGGCTATAATGCTAACCAGGGTGGACAAAACAGCCCTGGTGGCCGAACTGCGCTCAGTCATCAGGGAGAGGTACAGGAGGTGCACAGAGACCTCACTGCCCTTGAGCAAAGGGTCACGGTGCTCGAAGCCGATAGCCAGCAGGCCGACCAGCACTCTCAGGCAGCCGACACTGCAACCTCCAGGCAAGGCTCAGTACTCCTGGAGCTACGGAGACAGGTGGAGGACCTTGACAATTGCGACTGACGTAATAATATCCGCGTCAGAGGCCTACCTGAAAGAGGAGAGGACTTAGTTGACACTCTGACCCAGCTATTCACACAGATCCTGGGGGGAGGAAGCCCCTGATGAATATCAGATTGAAAGGGCTCATAGAGCACTCCGGCCACGCAGAAGGGATGGATTACCACGTTATGTTGTCTGTTGCCTGCTCTCCTTCCAACTTAAGGATGCCATCATGAGCGTTGCCAGGCCATAAGCCATAACTTGACTTTTCCTTACTAACGGTGAATGTCCCACGAGCCCTGAGGCCACTTACCCGGCTGCTCCAGGAACGGAGGATCCCTTACAAGTGGGGCTTTCCATTCAGCTTGCAGGCACGTAAGGATAACTCCTGACACACATTGAGATGTATCCGGACGACGTACCTTTCCTGTCTTGTGGCTAGTCGCAGCCACAGCACAAAGCGACCCCAGGGCAGGTGGGCCACAAAGATATTAATTATGGGCCGCAAGTTTGACATGCTTGCTCTTCAACAGGGAAGGGGAACCTTCGGCCCTCCAGATGTTTCGGACTACATCTCCCAATCCTATAATGCTCTTACAGCCATAATGCTAGCAAAGCATCAAGGGAGATGTAGTCCACAACATCTGAAGGGCCAAAAGTTCCCCACCCCTGCTCTACAACAACCAAGTAAAACATGGTCAAGTGAGGCTGCAGCTCAAAGAAAAGCATTGGATTTTTTGCTTTCCTTTGAGAAACATTAGGTGGCTCTTGTCCTTCTTGCCGCGCATGCAGATCCATTTCCAATGCCTCTCCATTAGCTATAGTTTCATCTATTGAATACATTACTATACTAAATGAAACAGCCAGTTGGAAAACATGTAAGTCCGAAACTTTTTTGTAGAAAAAACTGTGGAAATTTCATGTAAAGAAACAAAAAGAAAGCCAACACAACTCCCCCATGCCCAGATAATTAAATTTGCACACTACACCTATTCTGTGGATGCATTTAATCGCATGATCATTTGCATTTTTGGCTGTTCCTACCAGAGAACCTATCTAGAGTCAACTAGTGCCATACCTTCAGCAGTGTCTCTTGTAAAAAATACAGGAGAAACCACCAAACTGGCCATGTCTGGATCTTGTATTTTCTTTTTTCCATCCTACCTTAGAGTAGACATATAAAACAGAGTAAAACATTAAAAAATCCTAATGAAAATACAATCTAGTTCTGACCACAGTGATTATCATATGTTCCTATAAACAGAGAAATTCTCTTATTCTAATAATTTCCTGTCCGTATGCTTCTCATGTGAATCATATAGTTAAAAGATGTTGGCAGTTTCTGGAGAAAAACCCACAAGAATAGTTTGCAAGACAGTCATCCTGCTTATTTAAAGACATGACTAACACTAATTTAGCAAAATGGGAAAATATGAAACAAATTACGAATTTGCTCCACTGTATTGGATCACCACAGACGTATAAGAGACTTGGAAGCTAGCCTTTGGGACAGAAAATAACCTGTTGTTTCCGTGATTTAAAAAAAAAATACACAACCAATTAAACTGCGTATTTAAAAAAAAAAAATCTATTTATGTTCAAGCCATGAATTCAGGCAATCGATCAGTAACATTCTTTGGGCATACACATGTCTCAGAAGTAAATGCATACTTTGGCCAGAACAATGGTTTGTGTTGTTCTAGTTGAACTCAACATCATATTTTATTCCTATAAGTGCTCTCCTACATACATAGAATATAGCTGATTCACGTTTGAGTGAAATAAGATCATTTACCAATTTCCTGACAATAAATTCCTGTTATTATACATTGTAGTTTTATAGTTCTACCAGCATATACATATCATAATAACCTTCTGGTACAATTTACTTGCAAACAGTATATAGTTATACACTGAACAAAATTTTAAACGCAACACTTGTTTTTGCCCCCATTTTTCATGAGCTGAACTTAACCCCTTAAGGACTGGACTGTTTTTGCGATGTTGTACATTTGCGACCAGGCATATTTTTACACTTCTGTGGTGTTTGTGTTTGGCTGTAATTTTCCGCTTTCTCATTTACTGTTCCCATACAAATTATATATTGTTTTTTTCAGGACAAAAGGGGCTTTCTTTACATACCATTATTTATATAATCTCATGTATTTTAATTTAAAAAAAATACAAAAAATCTGATGAAAAATTGAAAAAAATACATGTTTTTTGACTTTTACTTGAAAAATCTTTTACTCATCTACAAAAGCGAATGAAAAAAACTGCTAAATAGATTCAAAATTTTGTCCTGAGTTTAAAAATACCCAGTGTTTACGTGCTTTTTTGCTTTTTTTTTGCATGTTATAGGGCTATAGGTACAAGTAGGATATTGCGGTTTCAAAACATACATTTTTAAAATTTATCAATAGTGACATTGTAACACTATTATCTGTCATAAATCTCTGAATAACACCCCACATGTACATATTTTTTTTAAAGTAGACAACCCAGGGTATTCAATATGGGGTATGTCCAGTCTTTTTTAGTAGCCACTTAGTCGAAAACACTGGCCAAAGTAAGCATTCATATTTGTTTGTGTGTGAAAAAAGTAAAAAAACTAAATTGAACGCTAATTTTGGCCAGTGTTTGTGACCAAGTGGTTACTAAAAAAGACTGGACATACCCCATTTGCAATACCTTGGGTTGTCTTCTTTTGCAAATGGTATGCCATCATGGGGGTAATTCTCATTCCTGGGCTACCATACGCTCTCAAAGGCAACGTAACCAACCTGGCCATTTTCAATGTAAAAATATTTGACCCATATATTTGACCTTGTAACTTTCAAAAATACTATAAAACCTGTACATGGGGGTACTGTTTTACTCGGGAGACATCGCTGAACACAAATATTAGTGTTTAAAAACTGGAAAACGTATCACAACAATTATATCATCAGTAAAAGTGCTGTTTGTGTGTGAAAAATGCAAAAAAGTAACTTTCACTGACAATATCATCGCTGTGATATGTTTTACTGTTTTGAATCACTAATATTTGTGTTCAGCGAAGTCTCCCGAGTAAAACAGTACCCCCCATGTACAGGTTTTAGGGTGTCGTAGAACGTTACAGGGTAAAATACAGTGCTAGCAAATTAAATTCTCTGGAATTTCGGCCTGGGTTGGCAGGCAGGTCCCTCAAATTGCAATCAATAAAATTACTGAATTATGTAAAATATTACATAAATACGCACGTAGAATTTAAATATATATGCATATTTATATATTTGAAGTCTACGTGTATATTTATATAATTATTTATGTAATTTTGTATATGGACGTATGTATATTTCTTATTATTTTTATTTATTTTTATATACATAGATATATATACAAATTCATTCTAAGTGTATTTTGATATAAATATATATATATTAATTTTAAAATACAGTTAGAATAAAATTTCATATAGCTATATAATTTTTTTTAAATTTTTTATTATTAAAAAATTTTTTATTTAATTTAAATTACTTATTATTTATATTTTATAATAATATATATATACAATATATATAGTTATTATATATATTATATATATACGTGTGTAATTTAATTATAAGTGTATTTTTATATTAATATAAGTACATATTAATATAAAAATACACTTAGTATGACATTATATATATATGATATATAGACATATATTATATAGATATAATATATGTCTATATATCATATATACACATATATAATTATTATTTTTTTTTTATTAACATTAACTTTATTTTTTTTTTCTGATTTTACACATGCAGGGAGACTGCCTGTCAGCACAGGCAGTCCCCCTGCAGGCAGACACATGGACACCTATTGTGACCATGTGATCGCTGTGTTAAGCGATCACATGGCCACAGGGGTCCTAATCTGCCGTGGGGAGACTGTCTGGGCTGCAGGCAGTCTCCCCACAACCGGAGCCACGCTGATCGCCGCCGGGGGAACGACGGCGATCAGGTAAGTAGCCCCAGACCGTTTGGACGGTTCAGGACCGTCATCGGTCCTCAAGGCAAAAATGCCGATGACGGTCCTGAACCGTCCTCGGTCCTTAAGGGGTTAAGGGGTTAAAGATCTAAGACTTTTTCAATGTACACAAAAACCCTATTTCTCTCAAATATTGTTCACAAATCTGTGGCCAGCCTAACGCACACCTGTTCTATAATCATGCTGTCTAATCAGATATGACAGATATGCCACACCTGTGAGGTGGATGGATTATCTCAGCAAAGGAGAAATGTTCACTAACACAGATTTAGACAGATTTGTCAATAATATTTGATAGAAATAGGCCTTTTGTGTACATAGAGAAAGTCTTAGATCTTTGAGTACAGCTCATGAAAAATGGGGGCAAAAACAAAAGTGTTGCGTTTATAATTTTGTTCAGTGTATATCCTTTCCATCTGTGTGTCTCCATCTCCCCCCACCCAGGGACAGCATTCCCTCTCATCCCAGTGCCACTATTAACACTTCATTACAGTATATTTACCTCTCCATATATATATTACCATCCCCCCCTCACCCCAGAGTCAACATTTCTCTATCACCCCAATGGTACCAGATCCTTCACCACAGTCTCATTTTTTTCTTACCCACTACAGTATCACCACCTTATCTCAGTGTCACCTCCCCCACCTCCTACTGTCATCATCCTGCTTTTTCCCTGTCCCCCCTGAGTCCTGGTAGCAAGACTTCATTTGGCACCTCCTATGGGAGTGGTTTAATGAACCACTCCCATATCTCACTGTGGCAGTCTCTCCGACCATTGCTGAGATCATCTCCACCAATTTAATGCTAGAGAAGCACGGGGGGCCTACTGTGCATGTGTTGCAATAGACACATTGCAACATTAAACATATCTACAGAGTGGTGCATTATAGCAAGGCAGCTCTATGGGAAGAGTGCATCAGCTTCATATTGAGCTTGAAGATACTCAACACACATTCAGAGTTGCACATATACAGACTCACACTTGCTATCCAGAAGATACCCAATAGTTGCATTTTCTACATGAAAGATCACACCAGAGAGCCCATTTGCACTTTTCTAAGTGTGTGGGGTCAGAGGGATCTAAAAATGCTGTTTAAGCAGGTCTCCCCTGGTGATTATTAAATGTACCTATAAACAGGGAAATTCACTCATTCCGATCATTTCCTGTCAGTGTGCTAGTCCTGTCATATAGCCTTTTTCAATACATTTAGAGGTGGTTCTCGGGCTGCCAGTCTTAAGGGAGACCCCCAGGGACTGGAATCCCCCTGACACGGTCTACGTGTTCCCTGCCACTTGTGATCGGTTATGGGCTTTGCAAGGGGCACAGCACAAATCACAGCATGCCAGAGCTACAGCATTACAGGGAATGTTGAAAACAGCCAGGAAATTGTGGTCGCAGACCACTCTGTTGTGCTAGCATGGAAATCCCATTGGCGATATCAGTACTGACATTAGCAGAGGGAGTCCGTTAGGGTAGGGTTAGGTTAGTGTACACTTATTGTTAGGATAAGGTAAGGGTTAATGTTTTTGGTTCTGGATGGTGTAGGGTTAAGATTAGAGGTAAGGTTAGGGTACGTATACAGATATAGTTAGTGCAAGCATAGGTGTAGGATTAGAGTTGGTATAGGTTGGGTGGTGGTTTTCAAATTGTATTGAATTACTCAGACAGTACAGAAATTGCAATGAGTGAATCAATATACAGCAAGTGATTTAGATACTGTAAGGTGACACAACCAAACAAAAATGTACACCCATACCAAATAATTACAGTTTTGATTCTGATAATTGCATTGTCTGTGGTTTGTATTGCTGTCTGTTTCATTTTACCAACAAAATTGGTGTATGGTTAGTGACAAGTGACAATAATTAATTTAGATCCTAGACATATTAAGCATTTAACAATCAGGACTGTTACGTGTATCTATTTTGACTTATTTTTTTTTTGTTGCTATTGATGTCTAAAAACTATTAAAAGGTAATAGAATTTAGCTTAGATAAAATGATATCTAGGGGTTCTGTCTTGTCTCGAGAGGTGATTAGACAAGCACAAAACCTTAAGAGAGTTATTAAGAAAAACAGCCTCCACGATGTACGGCGCATCTTTCATCCAGATAAAAGACATTTCACCCATTGATCAAGAGTACATAACTCTTTCTCTCGAATAGATTTGGTTCTGTGTGAAACAACACTCTTACAAAAGATCAATAAGATTGGTATTACTGAAGTAACATGGTCAGATCATAATGCTATTTTCTTGAATATAAATGATGGGATGGAGAAGAGACCCCCGTACATCATGGAGGCTCAACAATCCTCTATTGAAATCCGAAGAAAATGTCCTCCCCCCTGGCCCCCACCCCTGAGCGGCGGGTGGGGGCCCTAAATTGGAATAAGGGGGGGACCTAATGTCCTCCTCCCTGACCCCCACCCCTGAGCGGTGGGTGGGAGCCCTAAATACTAATAAGGGGGGGGGGACCTAATGTTTTTTTTTCAGCCCCAAAAAAGGCCAAATAAAAAATCCATAATAACCAACGCAATTAAAAAAAAAAAAACAAGCGCAAAATAAATAATCCACCAATCAGAGTGTTATGAGTCAAATTACACAGTGTGGGAAAATTCCAAAGAACTTTCCCACGCTGTGTAAAATGACACAGAGCACTCTGATTGGTGGATTTCAAACCAATCAATCAGAGTGCTGTACAGGTAAATGTAGAGACTTACCTGTCAGTCTCTTCATTTACCTGTCAGAGCACTCTGATTGGATGGCTTAAACCCACCAATCAGAGTGCTCTGAGCCTAATTGCAGGACGGGGCAAGGCTTTATAAGCCTTCCCCCGCCCTGCAGAGCTCAGTCGGCACGGAGCCCTCGCCGGGTGTAGATGGATTATTTTTCTTTGTGCTCGTATTTTAAAATTTTTTATTTTAATTGCGTCGATTATTATGGATTTTTTGTTTGGCCTTTTTTGGGGCTGAAAAAAAAAGATTTTAGAAGAAAGAAGACATCGAATGGTAAGTTTTATTTTTTTTACAGGTACTTAGTTAAAGGTACCCCCTTCATTATTTTTAGGGTGAGGGGGGTTAGTAGGGGGTTAATATTTTTTTGGGGGGGTGACTAGGGGTTTGGGGACCCCTAGTCACCTGGGGAGGGACATTTTTTTTAGAGCTCCCACCCGCTGCTCAGGGGTGTGGGCCGGGGGTGGAGGACAATAGGTCCCCCCCTATTGGTATTTAGGGCCCCCAACCGTCGTTCAGGGGTGGGGGCCAGGGGGGAGGACATTAGGTCCCCACCTTATTAGTATTTAGGGCCCCCACCCACCGCTCAGGGGTGGGGGCCAGGGGGGAGAACATTAGGTCCCCTCCTTATTAGTATTTAGGGCCTCCACCCACCGCTCTCTCCCATAACAGCACTAACATTTAGAATGGCCCAAAATGGGACTAAAAGATAGATACATAATAACTCATGTCTTGATAGCAGCAAAAAAAAAATATTGTAAAATTCTGGAAACAGACAAGATGGAGAAGGAGTCTTTGCCTATAACTAAACATGGATTGATAAAACTGAACAATTATATCCAAGGAGAATAAAACCTAAGTGACACTGGTATTTCAAATTTCTTTAAGCCCTATATAATCGGGGGAACTCCCTGAAAAAATATACATCAATATAACTTCCTTCACCCATGTTTCAACTATACCATCCACCTCTGTCCTCCACAAGACCTCGCTCTTTATATGATGTCTTTCTTTTCCTTTTTGTTCTTAATGGCATTCATGAGAATCATAAATCTGTATCTTTTAAATCATTTAATAAAGAATGAAGAAGAAAAATTATAAGGAAAATCTGCAAATATTGTTTTGTGTTTTTTAAATTTTTAACATTTTATTCATACTTAATGTTGTGTTAGGCAGACAAATTGGATATTAAAAAAGCACTTTCTGTCTTAAAAAAACAATATGTAATATGTATGGGGCACTTAAAAGAGATCTTTAAATTACATGAGTAAAAAAACTTTGCACAAATTCTGGGTCTTATTTTGGTTTAGATCTCTGACAATTGCCTGAGTTCATAAGGGGTAAAGCATGCATGTTTATTTTTATTAGTCTACTGCTGCCACCTAATGTACGTAATGGAAACTGCAAAAAATGAGACACGAATAGACACATCAACCCAACTGATCAAAATAAAATTACCTACTCTGTCTACGGTAAAGCCAATTTCTTAATTCCTTGGGCAACATTCTTTTAATAAGTTCGGCAGGCATCAGTGGAACAGCCAGGCTGTGAAGGCTGCAGAACAGTTTCGAAATAAGCATGAATTGTTCTTTAATCAAAACCAGGTAATGAAGACACACAAGGTTTTTTAGTAAACTGCAACCTGATGGCAATACAAAGTAAATTCAAAGTGAATTTCAAATAGTAAGCCAAAATATTCAGAACTAAAATTTTGCTGATTTATTCTGATTTATATATATTTTTTAATTTCAGCAATTTTTACCTAAAATTTTAAATATATCCAGACAATTCATTCCTAAAGATCCCTGTCATATATAAACAGCATATATTCCTATGTCACAAAAACAGCTTAAAGTGGCTCTTGGTGTGCAGTAGCGTTTGGCGGAGAGTTTAAGAAGTGCCTTAAAACCCATCTCTTTAGGAAAGCTTATGGCCTCCCAGACTAACCTCTACCTTATATACCTGTCTGTTGCTCTCTCTCCTAAAGGGCAGCACTCTACTCTCTCCTCCAGCTCTGCTTCACTCCCACCATATTTGATTGTTATTTCCTGTCTTAATGTATTTTATACCCCACTTCATAGACTGTAAGCTTGTTTGAGCAGGGTCCTCTTCTAGTGCTCCTTCTCTTTGTCGTTGCTTCCGCAGCCTCTCGTTCCTGTAAGTTTTCTTATAATTGTTCTATTAATAGTTAAATCCCTCCTCTCATAATATTGTAACGCGCTACGGAATCTGTTGGTGCTATATAAATGGCAATAATAATAACTCACCAAAGTGAGAATTCAAAGTAAATTTCAAATTTAAGGTCATAAAATCTGATCTGGAGAAAATTTCAGCTATGCTTTCAGTTTAGCTACTCTGGCCTTAACTTTGAAATACATTTTGAATTAACTTTTAAGGGCAGAAAGTCAAACACACAGTTACAGGCAAACAGTCACACACGCACAGTTATAGGCACACACGCCGTATATCCCTATACACTTCAGAATTCATGTGGTTGCTTCTATATTCTGTCACATCATCAATAAACACTAATGGTCCAGTGCCACAGGAAGCCATGCATAACCATGCCATCACACTGCCTACACCATGTTTTACAGATGATGTGGTATGCTTCGTATTACAAGCCGTTCCAAGTCTTACCCATGCTTTTTTCTTCACATCATTCTGGAACAGGTTGATTTTAGTTTTATCTGTCTGAAGAATGCTGTCCAGAACTGGGCTGGCTTTTAAAAAAATATATTTTTTTTTTGGCAATGTCTAATCTGGCCTTTCTATTCTTGAGGCATATGAATGGTTTGCACTTTGTGGTGAACCCTCTGTATTTGCTCTTGTGAAGTCTTCGCTTTATGGTAGACTTGGATAATTATTTATTTTATTTATTTATAAAATATTTTACCAGGAAAGATACATTGAGATTTCTCTCGTTTTCAAGTATGTCCTGGGTCCACAAATAATGATATCCCTACCTCCTGTAGAGCGTTCTTCACTTGGCTGGATGCTGTAAAGGGGTTTTCCTTTACCATGGAAAGAGTCCTACAATCATCCACCATGGATGTCCATACCTTCTTGTGCTGTAGTTTTTACCAATGCATTTTTTATTTTTTTATTTCTCAGAATGTACCAAATTGTTGATTTGGCAACTCCTATTGTTCCTGCTATGTTTCTGATGGATTTTTATTTTTTTTGCAGCCTAAGGATGGTCAGTTTCACTTGCAGGGAGAGTCCATTTGACTGCAGGTTCACAGCAACAACTTCCAAATGTGAATGCCACACCTGGAATCAACTCTAGACCATTTACCTGCTTCATTGATAAAGAGAAATAACAAATAATACCCGTCCATAAAACACCTTTTTTCTTTTTAATATGATCTTTATTAAACACATTTTTTTTTTTAAACAAACACATGAACATTATAACATAAACACCAATCTACAGAGATTCAGCTATTCGATATAAACATTATAATATGTTAACAATGTGTCCCCCACTCACATACAATAAACATTGACAACAAACTACAATGACCATACGTCACTACATATACATGACAATGCAACTAAGAGAGAGAAAAAAAATAATCAAATTGACAGGGGGGAAACGAGGAATTTCATAATTAATAGATTATACTTTATGAATTATCCAAAGTATGAAAAGTATTTTGCATCAATTGTCCAATTACTTTTGGTTCCTTTAAAAAGAAGGGACTAGGGGGCGGAGCTAGCAAGCAACCCATGCAGACGTGCGAGCACTGATATCCGGGAGAAATCCCCATACAAAGAACGAAATCGGTGGTTTAGAAAAGCCCAATTACTTTCAACGCTGGTCGGAACATAATGGGACGCAAATCCAAGCAGCTCCACAATGAGACCTATCAAAATATCGGCGCTCTATTCCGAGCAACGCCGCAGCCGCGGCCTGCCAAGATGGCGCCCGCGCGGGAAGCCTCTGAACACTCCTTAGATGACAGCATGTTGGAGGCCGCGGAAGCATCGACAAAGAGAGGGAGCACTAGAAGCGAGAGTACTCCACCTCCTGAACAAATGCCTGCGAGCAAAGCAGACATCATCTATCTGCTCAAAGAGCTTAAAGCTCAATCTGCAGCAGACATGGCCCTAATCAGGGAAGATTTGGGCACCATGACAGCCCGCATACAGGCTGTGGAAGTAAATGAAGCTGCTACAACACCCAAAATTGAAACCCTGCAAAGGGAAATGGCCCAAATGAAGCAAACCAGCACTATATTGGAAAATAAAGTGGCGGCACTGGAAGATGCAAAACGCCAGCGAAACCTCAGGATAAGAGGGATACCAGAGGCTGTGCAGGACCCTGATGTCACACACTACTTACGCAGATTACTAGCCTCCCTGCTACTACCAGCTAATGCAAAATCCATCTTGCTGGAGTTTCACTTTCGCATTCCTAAACCTCCAAGAGCCCCAGCTGACGTCCCACAGGACCTACTTATCTGCTTTCAATCGCTCCGTGGCAAGCTACTAGTACAAGAAGCCACCCGAGAAACCAACACATATGAGTTTGAAGGCTCTGAGCTGTCCTTCTATAATGACCTCTCCAGGGCAACAGTCACATGGCGACACTCCATGAAAGAAGTCACCCAACTGCTGAGAACCAAGGGGATACAATACAGATGGGGACCAGGGTGCAGACTCTCTGTCAGCAATGAAGGCAAAAGAGTGCACGTCACTCAAGCAAGTGACTCTGTAGCATTCCTGCAGGCCTTGGGAATATCCCAGGAGGCCACTACAAGCACTACCTCTGCAGCAATGACACCAGCGACTACCTCCAAGATATGGGACGTTAAGAGAATTCAACCCTTTTTCCCAAGAACGAGCGGTGTTACAGGCACTCCTCAGCCGAAAACCTGAATACCGCAAGTACATTATAACTTGGACTGCATGTCACAGGTGTATATCTCTTAGGCTATTACCTTCAGACATTGCTCTATGTCCGATCCTATTATTACAATCATTTTCAAGCGTGCCCGCTGCCCAATAGACTGCCCACGAACCGCATTGCCATGTAACTCCCAGTTTGCTCATACCCCCCAAAAGGAAGCTGTCTCCAACAAGCAAATGTTGATTTTTCTTACTACTATTATGCAACCACGAACTAGAAATCGTATGTTTAACTATTTGTATATCACAGCATATATGCTATACCTAGACTTTTATGTTTACCTGTTACCAGCGACATTGTACGCAAAGGTTGCACTTAAAATGTAGAAAAACTATGAGAGATGATAATTGTACTCAATGCTATGCTACAGAAAAAATTATAAATTATAAAACAGAAAAAAAAAAGAAGGGGCTACATATTAAAGAGCTGTAATACCTAAATCCTTCCTCGAATTTGGATGTGAATATCCTCAAAGTAAAGACACTTTAAGCCCATATTCATTACTTAACTGTAACTTACATTTATTTTGGTAAACAGTTAAAATAGCAAAACTTGTGTCAGTGTCAAAATATTTCCAGATCTATCTTTAGTTGTTTAAATATCCGAATTCAAAACCCAACAAAAGGATGCCGCCCAGTAGCTAATCTTTCCAACCATAGTGAGGCAATAAAAAAGTAATAGAAAGGGGCGTGGCTTGGACTGTGGAGGGAGCAGACGCATGGCGGCTGAGCTCCCGTTTCCAGCACCATATAACAGCATCCTATGGCATTCACTCACCCTGAAATCGGACCACAAATAAGTCCCACGACGCTCCACAACATGGGGAAGAAGGCAAAGAAACTCAAAACCCTGGCGGGAGACGGTACACGCAATATCAGCAACCTTCTACAACCGCAGCCTAAACCAAAAATGGTGGCACCGCCGGAGTCCCCCTATACCTCCTTCTCAGAGGAGGTGATGGATGTTCCTGACAATATTCTCCTATACAAAGGGGTAAGTGGCCACTCCACGAATGGAGGATTTAAAAGCCCCAGTCACAAAAAGGAGACATCAAGGAAGAACAACAGGGCCTTCTTTAATGACGACCTTGGCATAATTAGAGAGGACATCACAGTGGTTACAGCAAGAGTGCGAGCAACTGAAGAAACAGTCTCCACTATGGCACACCACTAGGAAAACAGCAAGGAGCTGATCCACCAACTACAGGTAGCACATAAGGCGGTTCAGGTCAGATGAGATATTCTGGAAGACTCACAGAGGCGCAATAACCTCAAGATTAGGGGAATTGCGGAAATGGTTGATGACCACGAATTACCGCACTTTATACATACTTCATGGCCACACTATTACCTCACTGGACAGCTGCTTCTGACTTACCAAAACCAACAGGGCTCTGGCCGGAGCCACTCGTGATGTGTTGGTACGCTTCCTCACACAACGAGACAGATCCGCGGTCCAGGAGGCGGTGAAAAATAAAACACCATATCCATTCAAAGAAATGCAGCTCCATTTCTTACAAAACCTGTGTCGCTCCACTTTCGCCTGGAGATGGTCATTGCAGCAGGTCACTCAAACCTTACGTTCTGCAGGAATTTCCAGTAAATGGGGAACCTCACGCACCCTGCTGGCTATCAAGGAGGGGCGCTCATACCAACTCACCTCCGCGGAGGAAGCTGCAACATTCCTCCAAAAATTGGGCCTCACATCGACCTGTTGCTCCTGGGATATCTCCAAAGCAGTGCCATTCATTCCACAAGCAGTAGCAGATATTGGCTTATATTGGAATAGACTCCCAGGCGGGAGCACAACAACACTAGACTGAATCCTATACCAGTCATACCTATTTAGTTTATTTGGCATTATTCTATTTCTTTATTATGTTTTTAAGTTCCACGTTTAGGGAATTGATGTTTGTGTTGAATATTTTTTTTATTGTTATTACGACATGACGCAGTTATCAGACTTGTTTAAGATAAGCATATGGTCGCCCGCGCAGGGGCATAAGCAACGGTACACAAATGTTTTGCCGCCTGCGCAGAGGCGGTACTGTCAAGGCATGTGTAGCAAAGCAAATAAGATCTTATTCAGTTGGTTTTTTTTTTGGTTTTTTTTTTTAAAGTAGTATGTTAATAATTAAAGCCTGTAATAGCTAGAAGAAGCTTAGGTGTACGTCATCGTTGTGGAGTCGGATGCTAAGCAATCGGTAATTCCCTGCAAAGTTAGAACAGTACCATAACGGTCTGACTACATAGGTATAGCAGAGTCTAAAATGTTCACCAAGCATATGTTTAACTTATCCTCATGTAGCAGTTTATTTTTGCAGCTATTCAAGCTATCGGCGATGCCCATTTTGTGTGTCCCCTATATGTATTCACTATCTAATCTCATGGGCGTAATAAGAAACATTTTATATTCTGCATGTGCCGTATGTGCTTGACGTATCTGGTTAGAGCACCAAAACGCTCCGTACATCTGTGCATAAAACATGGCATTTAACAATTAAACATTAAGATGCGCGTAGCTGATGGCCTTATTTGTAGGTAATAAATTATGTCATGTTTCGTGCCATTAAATAAGCGGTAATAAGTAACGCGGTGTTAAGTAGCTGTTAGCATTGTGTCATTGCCCTATCAACTGCACAACAGGCACGCTGTGAAATAGATGTGCAAATATTAAAGTGTATATCCTATGTACAAGGGCTTATGCAAGAGGAAACATTAGCATGGTTAGCCCTAGCTAAACACATTTGAACTTTTAACATATAAGTCACTTAGCTGGAGGGGGCGTAATGGCGCCCGGTATGATTAAGCCATCTGGTGTGAAATTGGCAGTCTTCTTCGTAGCTTTTATTCTGGTATGACCTTCCCATGTCTACCTCTGAATGATGCTGCACATGGTGGGTCAGCTGTACCCCCCCTGAGTCTCTCCGGTTCCCCCGGGTGCGACATTGCCCTCCCTTTCCCATCCCAAGTCGGGTTTCCACGTCTTTGGGGCACAACCCCGCTGTGGGCACTCGGAGGCCGGAGCTGTCCGGCGGCCTCCCCACCTTAGAGTCCACTGGGCTCCCGCCTCCTGCACCTCCCCAGCTTCAGCAGGGCCTCCCTGGGTCCCAGCCCTGACTTGCCACCTCCTCCTCCGGCCACTTACATGTTGCCGGCGCGTGCCCTCCGGCCACCGGTCCGCCAGCAGGCCCGCGCTTCTCAGCTCCACCGGGCTCACAGAGTTGGGGGTTGTTTTCTCCCGGACCCCCACCAAATCCGGGGTTCAGGACTGGCTTTCCAGCGACTCGTCCGCCGCCCGGGGTGGTCCAGTAGTGAGCTCCGCCGTCCCGGGGGTCCCGGTATCTCAGCGCGGGATTTCTGCTGTGTGTGAGTCGCCCCGTGATGCTGTGCGTGTACCTGTCGGCCATTGTAGCTCCGTGTACAGGAGCGTCGTGTACCGGGCGTGCCTCCTCCTCCAGCTTCCGATGTTCCGACTTTGGGCCGGGATCACCCCCCCGGCCGGGTGGGGGGGGGAGCGGGGCCGGGCTAGGTCACCCTCGCCTTACTTGCACGCCGTGGCTCCCGTTCATGTAGCGTGGTTGAGGCCTCCGGGGTCACTGTGTGGGCCGGAGGTTCAATATGTGCCCTAACGTTGCACTCCCCGGTTCCTCTCTGCCTGATTACCTCTCTGGTTTCGGTTTTCGGCATGGATCGTGAGTATTTTAAACGTTTCATGCTGTTTTAGGCTTTTCTCTGCCGGAGCCGGCGTGAGTTGCAGCCTCTCGGCTCAGCGGCCCGGCCCCGCCCGGGAATTGATGTTTGTATTTTTGCACATAAAAGTCCTATGATGGGGCACCACGTGTCCACACCCCCGCAACGTTCAGGGGTTAATGAGCGGTACTACTCCCTTTCTGTACCTAAGATAGGGCCCACAACATATTCACCATAATATCTATAAAACTTCCCAACCAGGTATTAATGGCAACCCTTTAACAAAGCATATGTGACAAGCGGGTGACAATTGTGCCCACTTACACACAGGCACATCCCAGCCCATCAACTATCCTGTTACCAGAGTGGGTGATATTGCACTTACATCCCAGAGGCAGGTCGAACAGTCTAGATGGCCCACCCAATGTTTCCTAGATGCTAAATACAAAGATTATCACAGGCCGCAGGCTTTATACCGGGCACAAGGCTTCTTCGTATCTTAAACTTTCACACCCCACTACCTTCCTCTATTAGCCCAGGGAACATAATTATGAGGAAAGCACAAAAAGCCAGTCCAATGACATACCGAGGTCGATATCCCTCACATGTTTTTCCTTTACCGTTGATACCTTTCCTCTGTCACTCTCAAATAGTATAAAAGAGGCAGACAAACCTGGGAGATTGCTGATTAGCTATGTAATGACATTGCATTTTCTTTGTACACAATAACTCCTTTTCTCCTTTCTGTTACGTATACTTATTTGCCTCAATAAAAGAAAGATTTACAATAAAAAGAGGGGCAGTAATACAATAACTGGGGACTTAATGTCCACATAGACACCAGTGGTGGTGGGTGTTGGCTAATAATAAAATTATGTCCATCCCACCACCCGGCAAAATTGTGTCTCTGGCGGCAGTAACCGTACCTACCCTACCTCACTCTAATAATAGTGAGGGGAGCAGTGAACCAAATTCTTACCTTCACGTGTTTTTTTTCTTACTAAAACTTCTTGTCTTCAGCCACCCCCCAAAATTCTCCCCTCCCACGAAGTCTAGTCACAACTATTAAATAAAATAAAAAAACAAGGACCAGACTGTGGTTGCATAGCAGTATCAGCCCTATAGAAGGGTTTTACCACGCTATACATCACTAGTCGGAGCGTTTTGATTGGTTGGCTTCTATTGCTTGTGAAAACATAATACATTTTATAAGGTTAGAGCCCCAATCTGCCTCCAATGGGTGGGGGGATCAATAGTTTCCTCTCCCTGTTATTGTACTTTTGTCCCTCCTCACTGCTCATAGGTGATGACTAATGGAATCCTAAATCCCCCCAATCCACTGGTAGCGACATAGAGCGGGGGTAACACTGTGTCCTTCCACTCTAATATTGTTAATTTTACCACTGTGAGGGGTATATATTAGCAACTGGGCAGCAATAGCTACGCAGTTGCTAGTCTCCTTTATGACAAAAAGTAGCCACTGGCTGCTCACTGCTTATAGACAGCTACCCCTGTGCTAAGGTAACCACTAGTACTAACATCTGAACCACAATTAAGAAAAGTGTAATAGATATATAGCTAAAACTCCCAAAGTACAACTGCAAAATACAAACACGGATTGCAGAATTTCATTGTCCAAATGAAATTCCAATCCGAAATGAATGGGCAAATTTTGTCCAAACAAAACAGTCTAATGAAAGGTAGTCAGTTCAGACGAATAATTTCTTTCAATCTGAATGCTTTCAGATGATCCAATATTTTCTGTAGCGCCCGAGTCTACTGAGAATTGAATGCATTATCTGCCTTAACTTGATTTGGCATAATTAAAGGAACTCTATAGTGTCAGTAACACAAACATGTATTCCTGACCCTATAGTGTTAAAGGGACACTATAGTCACCAGAACAACTACAGCTTATTGAATTTGTTCTGGTGAATAGAATCATTACCTTCAGGCTTTTTGCTGTAGACACTGTCTTTTCAGAGAAAATTCAGTGTTAACATTACAGCCTAGTGATAACTTCACTGGCTACTCCTCAGATGGCTGTTAGAGATCCTTCCTGGGTCATGGCTGCCTAAAATGCATCCAAACATTCAGTATCTCCTCCCTCTGCATGCAGACACTGAACATTCCTCATAGAGATTCATTAATTCAATTCATCTATATGAGGAGATGCTGATTGGCCAGGGCTGTGTTTGAATCATGCTGGCACTGCCCCTGATCTTCTGATGTCAGAGGAAGTTCACAGGCAGAGGCAGCAGCTTCAGACTTGAATACAAGTAATTTTACTATCTTTAGGGATGCAAAGGGGGCCAAGGGGACTAGATAGTGGTTTAAACACAATAGGGTCAGTAATACATGTTTGTGTTCCTAACCCTATGGTGCTCCTTTAAAAACACTAAATTATAGCTGCTGTATACACTTTATGGGTACTCCTAAAAACCCACCATACAAAGATAATCACCAAGATACAGAAAAGATTTCAGGCCGAATGGGTGTTACCACCCTTTAGGTCTTCTATCTTTAAGAGTGCAGCGCTGTATTATATGTGAGAACACAGTGAATTACCTGTGATTCAAAGACAATTATCCTTTATATTCTCCAATGTAATGTGCATACAAAAGAAAACAGAAATATATACAGATAATTGTGCAGTATGTCAAATACTTTAGTAATGATTTTGGTGAGTAACAGATATATCTACACTCACATTTTTTAGAGCCTTTTCAAGTAAATTAGGCTCTAAACTTCCGTGCATCTGTGTCTTTAAAGGTAGATCACATGACCCCTTTCTCCAAGGTAAAATGTGTATTTTCTTCTCCACAACGTATATAAAAGACACAGAATTATCCAACTAAGTGTAGCATCCTTTGTAATATTTTCATACACTTAAATAATAAGTTAAAGTGCTCACCTTATTTAGAGCCTTTTGGTAACTGGCTCTAAGTATATAAGCCTAGTGTCAATTTGTGGGGTGACACTGCCCCTTCCCTGGAATCACTGGTGCTGGATACAGTGGATAGTATAAAATAAGGGAATTTATTACAGAATATATCAAATCAATATAAAAATATTTCTAGAAAATAAAAAATAATAAGAAGAACAAAGTATTGCAAGTATTAGTGGTTTAAGAAAAATGATGAGTCCACTTTAAAAGCCAAAATGCGTTTCGCCGGTAAAAACGGCTTCCTCAGTCAGCTTGTGGGTGTCCTCTTGGTATTCTGTGTTTTAAGCGTCCAAAATCCCGCCTAAAATGCCTTCTCCCAATCGGATGGGTCCTTTTGTGTCATGTGACGCGGCTAAAATGCCGTCGCGTCACTTCCGGGTTTTCGGCACTACAGGATCCAGAGTGCTTTGCGCTCAGCGCGTCACTTCCGGTTTTCGTCCCGTTGTTTATGGGAAATATAGTCCGCAATAGGGGATTGTTCAGTCAGGGGCGTACCTAGAGCATTTGGCACCCGGGGCGGATCCTGTGCTTGGCACCCCCCTCCCAAAAACCTGTAAAAAAAATGTAAAGGTTCTCTTTTTTTTACAATTTGTTACAGGCAGACAGTCACATACAGTCACAGGCAGACAGTCACACATACACATTTCCTCCGTGCGGCCAGTTTATCAGCTGTTTGCTTGTGTGAGCTGTACTGCCACAGCCCCCTCCAGCCAGGGCCGGTGCAAGGATTTTTGCCGCCCTAGGCAAAAGTAAAGTTTGCCCCCCTCCCCCATGTGACATCACAATGCCCCACCCATATGATTTGCCATGTTAACTAACGCCAGTGCTGCAGTGCCGCCGTGTTTACATTAAAAGGCCTGCAGGGACAGGCTATAGACACCAGAACCACTACATTAAGCTGAAGTGGTTCTGGGGACTATAGTGTTTCTTTAATGTGAGGTAAATTAGAGCTTAGTGCCACGAATAATATACTAGATTGCCTACTTACAACCAGATGAGGATGATGATGGGCTCTAGCTGCAGTCTGGCTTCACTGGTCTGGTGCAGAACAGTCTCTCTGCAGGCGGTTTGTAACTGTGGTCACAAAAATCAATGTTCTGGGAGAACGGGAAGCAGCTCCATTTTTTGGGGGTCCTTTACACAGCTCAAGGTCTGGGTCCCAGGGTCCACCTTCATGTTCCACCAATGAGTTTGTTCACAGGGGGTGGAGTGTGTAGGGGATGTCCTGATATGTGTGTAAGGAATGCATTGTGTGAAATTGTGTTTGTATGTGTAAGGGCTGCAAGGTGTGTTTCTGTGTATGTATGGGATGCATTGAATGTGTGTAAGGGGTGCATTGAGTGTGTGTAAGGAATGCATTGTGTGTTTCTGTGTGTGTAAGGGATGCATTGTGTGTAACGGTTGCATTGCTTGTGTATGTGTGTCTGTGTGTGTAATGCATTGTGTGTTTTTCTGTGTGCAAGGGGTGCATTGTGTGTATGTGATGAATGTCAATCTCTCCTCCCGCTCCAATTTCCTTCTCTTCCTCCCAATTTCTCTTTCTCACCCCCCCTCCTAATTTCTCTCCCCCCCTAATTTCTCTTTCCCCCCTCCTAATATCTCTTCCCCCCTCCTAATTTCAATTTCTCTTTCCCCCCTCCTAATATCTCTCCCTCCCTCCTAATTTCTCTTCCCCCTCCTAATTTCTCTCTCACCCCCTCTCTCCTTTCTCACCCCCCTCCTTTCTCTTTCTCTCCCCCCCTCCTTTCTCTTCTCACCCCCCCTTTCTCCTTCTCACCCCCCTTTCTCCTCTTTCTCACCCTCCCTTCTCACCCTCCCTTTCTCCTCTTTCTCACCCCCT